CCACTGTTACCGCTACTACAACACCTCCGACGTCCACTGTGGGTAGTACGGGTGCCACTGTTACCGCTACTACAAAACATACGACGTCCACTGTGGATAGTACGGGTACCACTGTTACCGCTACTACAACACCTCCGACGTCAACTGTGGATAGTACGGGTACCACTGTTTCCGCTACTACAACACCTCCGACGTCCTCTGTGGATATTTTAAGTACCGCTGTGACCCTTAATACTAATACAAAACCCACGACGCCCACCGCTGTGGAGACGCAAACCCCATCTACAACCACTGAAGAAACTAGAACAACCACTGATATGACCTCTCCAACAACTGGAAAAGTGACAACTACAGGATCATCCATGGAGCAATCAACATTTCAAAGCTCTGTTACAACCCTCCCATTGGTGACTTTTAGTTCTGCTGAAGGACCATCAACTCAAAAGGATACAAAGAAATCTACTACGAAGCCACCTGAGTTATGGACTAAACCTCAGGAACCCAATAAACCTATAATTCTAATACCAACGCAAATTACCCTAAGTAAGTTGCTTTGAAGTCAATTTGTTGTTTTATTTTTGATATACTTTTGACATTGTCTTTGGAAAACGCTAACAATTTACAAGTGAACATGTACTAATTTATTTGTATTGTTCAAATTGACATCCTTTAGGCTCATCCTTCAAGAAACCAACGCCTTCAAAGAGGCGATGGGGGCCGGAAGTACACGGTTTAAGCTGTATACTTACCTGTACGTATCTTAAATTGTGATTATTGAATCTTCTATCATGGCTATTTCCTCAACATTGGCATAACATACAAAGTCTTTGTCATTGGAAATTCATCTGGCAGCTTCCCAAATACAATTGAGTGATGTCACGACACATTTCCGGTTTTTGACGAGGCATAAGCTTTACGGTTTGCTCCAGATTTCAAGCGTTAACTTCAAGACCTACAGTAAGCAGCAGTTTAAATTAGATCTCGTGTTATGCGTTTGTTATTTGATATTGCACCAATGTGCAAAATTTGGTAGCTTAAGCTATTGAAGGTTTTCTACGATCTCGTTCGGATTTCTGTCGGTTTCTTGAAGGGTGAGCCGATATCTATCTTCTAGCAATTGTATAGATTAAATGTCTATGGTATGTCACTGGCATTACATTCAATATTTTCCCATTGGTTTTGTTTATATTCGTGTATAATTTTTGACAGTTTTGTGACACGCGACATCTTTCATGCATACTTCGTTTATTATAGAAAACTCTGAAATTGAGGAATTAGATAAGAAGATAACATTGGCAATTAGAATACCGGGCGTAGAGTTAGAAGATCTAAAGGAGACATTTGAAAAGGGAAAGGCTGATTTGGAAAAACAGGTATAGAGATTGAGGCAGTTTTAATGTGTCTTCTTCCTCGAGTACAACAACGTCATAGGTAACTCATAACACGAGTACAAATGTGTTTCTTCACTTATTTTTCGTATATATTGTTTCAGTGAGATAATGTTGTGTACATCTACACATCTCACTATCTGATCTTTTACTTTAATTTCAGTTGCTGTATAAGTTTAATGCGTCTGGACTGGAGGGATTAAAAGAAGTGGAAATAATTGGGTTCAGGTAGTTTACTTTGCTCCTCTTTTTGTTCACTATATTAACTTCAAATCGGTTGCTTAAATGCCTGTTCCAAATTCAATTCATAGAACACCAACTGTTACCCGTTGACATTATGATTTCGGAATGTATCATTAATTCAATCACGTTAGTAATAGGTACTAATCATCAACTGTCTTTAAAAAAAGCAACATATCAAAAACAAGCGCTTAACCAAAGTAACGCTCACAGTTAATTCGTAATTTTTTAGGTACGGGAGCATTATCATTGACTACAACCTTATATTCGCCCTCAAAACTTTCTTAGAGCAAAATGGAAATAGCAGTAAAATACTGAAGACAATCGAGAATGTTCTGGTGAATCAGAACACAAGTTTAAACATAACGGTCAATGGGACTACCTTTTCCACAGACAAAAATTACAGTGCATCTCAATTATCTATAGGTGAGTACAATGATATTGCTGATTTAAAAAAATAACAAAACAGTGTATGAAGCCTGTAATCTAAATATCATCAGCACCTAATATATTGTTTCACGTATGCACTTTTAAGAGCACAGTTTGAAATACTATTTATAATGTTAATGTCAAATGTATGTGGTTTATTCATTTTATGAAGAGTTATATGTACACGTGCATGTATGATCATGGGCGGGTTCACGGTATTGCCTTAGGAAGTAATTGATTAGGGGCTTTTACTTAATGTCAAAATGGCTGACAGACACAGATACTCTCTATGCAATGTCTTGTCATTTCTACTAGTACTTAATAAGAATATTATGCGATGGTTTATTTCAACATAAATGTACCAGTATCCGTTTTGATTACTCTGCACATACTTTTACTCCCACATTCAACCTCAAATCTAGCTAAGGTTTACTGGAACATGCGTTTAGATGTACTCTTTTGTGTGAAAGTAGTGTTCATGTTCAACACTGCACACATGAGCACCTCTGCATTACGTTGGGTTTTGTAAATGTCATTTACATTTCTATAACTGCACAGCAAAATCAAGCCTAATGGACCCATGTATACTCTATGATGACGTCGACATCTGCGAGTTTAGAACCCAATCTCGTGATTACTCGTGTGTGCCAGAAACCAAGGGTATACGCTGTAAGCCGAAATGTGATGGTCAAGACTGCAGTGGACATGGGCAATGTACAGTGCGCTTCCCGAACTACGCCGCAGAGTGCATGTAAGTAATTATTGTGTGAGGGAGATATGTGTAATCTTGTAGCCAGTTAGAGGAAGTAGATATATAATAGCATCCAAGCGTTCTCACACGTGTATGTGTGCAGTCAAGAACGATATTCGAAAAAAGAACCCATTCTGCAAATACCGAATGCGGTGTTTTAATCTTTAGTTCAGTATAATAACACTAACCAATGATAGTGATGTCTATCTAACAAAACTTCCCAAAGCTGGGAGTAGCCATAAACATCATCTATTAAAATTTCGCAACTTCCAGATGCAAAGTTGAACACACGTTCATGTCGACGACTACCTATACTGGACAGACGTGCTCAGAACCCAACCAAACCCTGACCCAAACTGGTATCATCATAATTACCACCACTGTTGGGGGAGTTCTGCTTCTGGCAGTCTTAGTACTGGTTGCGGTAGTGGTGCTACTCAGGCGAAATTACATCGCCACGAAAAACAAGTGAGTGAAGTTGATTTATTTCAGTTAAATGTATTTTCATAAACTATCACTGGCTTAATGTAAAAATAAATTTCAAAGGAAATTAAAAAGACAGTGAAACCAATGTGCTAGATATTTTTAAACATTCGATAGTTCAAAATAAAAACTAGATTTTCAAACTATTCGTGTACAGATATGGGCAGATTGAAAGTCAAGAAAAGGAGTCAGATTTTGATAATCAGTCAAGCTCTTCCGACGTAGAAACCAAAGGATCCCGTAACAGAGGGAATTATTTTTATCATGAGAACAAGGTAAGTGACATTATAAACCATGTTTTGCATAAATCAAACACGTGCAAAATTAAATAAGCAATCCATTGCAATACAGCACTTTATACATTTTAATCCATTCCAAAATACTGGACCAGTTTATCATCTTGCCTATATCGGTTTAGTCAAAGGATATAATGAAAAAAGTATCTTCTGAAGCAATATTTTAAAAGTGAAAAGGCCAATTTTTGTTTTGTTGTATGCAACATCTTCTGATAAAATCGATATTATACGACCGATAAAATTAAAATTAGAAAGAAAATTACTGATGTGCATTGGGTATACCGGCTCACTAACTTTAACTATTATTTACCCTAGAAATTTATAACTGTCAGTATATCTCTTAAAACGGAAACCTGGACGTATGAAAAAGCCAATCATTTAAGTGTACCATTTGTATATGTACCAATAGTGACTCCTGAAAACAATATGTACTGCGGGTAGTTCCAGTTCTTTATAATTTCAGGGTTACGACCCTGACGTCGACGTCGGCTTGGACCCCAGGTACGCAGGATTCCAAGTGAGGCTCGATCATATCGACCCTACCACAGACGTAAGTTGAAAAATAAATCTTCAGTAGAAGCAATGCTGCATGTAGTGACTATCTAGAGGCAGTGACTACATTTTGGTAGTTCATGTTGTGCATTTACACCTTGCTTTGATTCTCAAAGTTGCTTAATATGTGAGATATCCAAGTTGTCGTCGAAATGTTCGTAGGTGTGTTTGACATGTCCCATCTAACATGAAGAAGTGAAGCGCGGAAGACTAATCGGGTGTTTTTATATTATTTTCAGTACTCCATTAGGCGGCCAACCGTGTACAGCCGTCCCTACGGTCCTCACCACAAGGAAAACAAACCAAAATATACGTGAATATCATCTGGTTACTACTGACACCTATCGGTCATTTTACACGATATCATTGGGGCTATGGATGACGGTAGTCTGTTTGAGCAATACTTGGAAACTTAACTTGAGCATGTCAGTTTAGGGTCAGCACAATTATAATGGACGTTATCTTTAAATTATCTCTAATTTAGCTGATATATATGTGTTTATAAAACACTAATATAATTTGTTGATTCAATATACATATTTGATTGAAGCTTGATATTGATATAGATCTGGAATTGTTTAAAAAAAAAGCCTGACAGGTCTTTTTGTTTGAAGAAATTACTGGAGATCCAATTTAGGAACGAATGTTTCAAACAAGTTCACGAAAATACGATTGTGACAATTACCAAAAGGATTACAATACGTCAAAAGCGTGCAATGCAGCTATTGCAGAAATACGAGTCTTTGCATGAACGAAGTCTAGAAACAGAAGAATTACGTACATTTCAAAAGGGGGCCATTGGTGTGATTATTTTTCAGAAATCGAAGAGGGGGGGGGGGGGCAGGACACCCCCTAAATCCGTCACTAGTCGTAGTCGTCGTAGTAGTAGTAGAAGTAGTAGCATAATTGTAGTAGTAGTAGTAAAGAAATTGAGAACGCAGTTTATAAAGAAACAATTACAAGGCCCATGATGGTTGTAGCTGCATGTGTATGTGCATGATATGTCTAAATGTATACCGAGAAGTAATGTCTGTCCCAAGTACCCATCAGGCTAGATAATTGATATAGAACTATATTTATCTTATTTAATGTAGCCGTGGAATTATAAAATGCTTTTATAATCTATATCATCGATGTAAGTTGTATGAAGACTTGCTACGTATGAAGCAGGTAAATGCAACTGTGTCCGATTCATAGTTTAAATACTATTATTGATATTATAACGGGCTATTTATATTGCATTCTAACACGAGTTTATACATGTTTGTATGCTCAAGTATTCGAAACTGAAATAATGTATATATGAATCGGTTTATGCATAATTATTAAATTGAAAAGTATTAGATATTCAATTAAATAAAGATACTTGCTTATAGAGACTGGCGTCCCTGTCCAAATATTATCTACACGATACTAGCTCCACCCTTAGCAAAATGAAAAGTTTACAGCAATATTGCAATGTCATTATACGCGTCTTAAATATGCTTATGTACAACATTCTTAATACATCGAATGCGTGCACACAATTAGTAAATGCACATGTTAAAGTGTGTGTGTGTGTGTGTGTGTGTGTGTGCTTGATAGAAGTTTTCAGATTTTGTTTTTGCTTTTTTTTGCATTTCTGTATTATGTAATTATCAACAACGCGCTCTGGAAAGTTGTACAATGATAAGTGGCTTATCAAGAATTGTCCCTGAAATTATTTCGTTGACGTCATATATTGTTTCAAACCTGGTTATTAAAATTTCCTGGTAATCTGCGTCAAACAGGATCCAGCCTGAATACTTTCTTTTACTGGGAATCTGAGGCCATCTTCATTTTTCTGTCGTGTTTGCATGAAAAAAAAAACTACCAGAAACGTATCCCCTGTTCATATTCAACTCAGCGGGATAGAGATCAATGATCGTATAACATGGTCTTGTTGTGCAGGGTTACAACAAATGATGTGTACAACTACATGTACATGTACCGTGCAGAATTCAATGTAATCAAATACATTTTTGTTTGCAAAAAAATGAAGAATTATGATAATTCATAAAATAATAAACGTTGTTTATCTTTAAAGTATTGTTTTTTTCTTCAGTGAACAGCTTAAAATTAAAATGTTTTTTTAACCTCCAATATTTCTGTTATAACATAATTCAGGTGATGAAATTCTTCTCTGGCGCTTTGTACTAAGTCTTATGTAACAATACAACACATTAGACGGCTTTAATATAGTTACCCGCACGAAAATGCAGTAGTATCGAAGTAGCAAAGAAGCATTAACGCAGTAGTGGTGTGGAGCATATTTGCAGTAGAAATGCAGCATACCCTACTGCAATTCTACTTCAAAAATTACATAGGGTTGTACAGAGGAGGAGCATTAATGCAGTAGAATAGCAGCATGATAGAAGCATGTTTCAAATATGCTAATTAGCTCCCAATGCGAAGCAGATTTGAGGCATATTTGCAGTATGATTCCAGTAGTCTACTGCGCTGGAGCATCTACTGCGTTTTCGTGCGGGTACTCCTGCGCAGTAGACTACTTCAATCATACTGCAAACATGCCTCAAATCTGCTTCGATTTGGCCGGGAGCTAAATAGCATATTTGAAACATATATGCTTCCATCATGCTGCTAATCTACTGCATCAATGCTCCTCTCTGTACAAACCTATGTTCTTTTTGGAGTAGAATTGCAGTAGGCTATATTGCATTTCTATTTAAATATGCTCCACACCACTACTTAGTTAATGCTTCTTTGCTACTTCGATACTACTGCATTTTCGTGCGGGATGGGTTTCTATATAAAGTAGGGGCCATCACAATGCACGTCTGCTGTTATCATAATTAATATAACTTTAAATATTTGAAGAATATTTTAAATTTTATCTTAATTAATCCTAAGCAATAAGAATAGTATTGAAATATACTAACTGTATTTAAACTCCATAGCTCATCCATAGTTTCCCTTGACCGACTGCTAGCATATGGACTGAAAATGTCCCTGTTTAGTTCGAGTAGATATCAAGCCCACCCCTCAGACAAGCTGATTTTCACATTTATCTCACCTTATTCATGCCTTTTCAACCATGAATAATTAGCTTGTCTTAGGAAGGGGCTCATGAATATATCTTTTAACCTCAAGTCATTGTGAGATTCTTCTTTCAATCAACAGTGCATGTAAGCATAAAGCAATCAAAATATTGATCACAAGCATTGATTGGCCACTTATTGCCTTTCCTTTTTAAACTGGCACCTTCTGTACCCAATTACAAAATTTCACAGTTGTCACCTTACTGCAACTTTAGAAATGTAGCAATGTATTTCAGAAGTACGCTAAAACACACATTTTCATGAGTATTTGACAAGGTCATTTTGACATTAATTTTTGACATTTCAAAATTACATAAAAAAAAAAATAGAGTGGATCATAAAAGTGTAAGACCTTAATTTTAATTTGGTATATTTTTTCTTTCATTCACATTTTATTTTGCACTAAGTGAGATCCCCCGCAGAGGTGGGTTAATCTACGTATACTAATGGTGGCTATGGGTATTGGCTCTTACCACACAGGGGAATTACCACACACCCATAATTCACTGCTGTATTGTTTTCATCAACTGGTCACTGTAACACTGTAGCAACGAGGATCATCACAACGTGACGGATGGCTGAGCTCATTGGGTGGAGTGTGCGCCGGTGTGGCAGGAACGACAGTTCGATAGCTACTGGTGTGATGTTAGTAAGTGACAGCATGCAGTGAATAAGAGCGGGGAGTAATTTGTAGAGTAATTTTAGTTGATTGACATGCTCTCATGATATTTATACAACTGTGCATAATGTAAACGGGAAAAGAAGTCCGCTAGAGATTGCATGAGGTAGAAGTAGGAATAAAGGAAGCGGCACATGTAACAACTGGAAAGTAGTTAATAAATCATAAGAAAGTCTATAACCGAGTCGTATTTGCTACCTCGCGTAACATAAAGAAGACAAGCCAATAACGTCGTCACACTGGGTAGGTAATCTGTCCTCATTACAGCTGACATTCACCCCTAAAACTTACCATGTTACATCCGACTAACCCTAACTCCTGTTCATCAAGTGCAATCTCGTTGTTCCATTCCTGCGACTTCCCTTCCTGTCGCATCATCTTTTGTAGACAGAGGAACGCTAAAAACGGAGAGTTGATCCCAGTTAACTGTGTGACTCGGGTGTGGCGCGTGTACCAGCGTGAGAACTGCCACGTGCCTCTTATACAGCGTGCATGCCTGTCTTAATCCGCTGCTTAGATTAATCTTCATCGAAAAACTGTTGCACTTTTATATTCAATATAGAAATGTTTACTAGATTTCAAAACTGTTGCACCGTATTAAAAAGATCGTTTACAATGGTAGGGTACAAGTACATGTAGCAACGCCCAATCTTCTGTTAGTAGTAATACATAAATGCTGTAAACAATGTGTGTGTGTGTGTGTGTGTGTGTGTGTGTGTGTGAGAGAGAGAGAGAGAGAGAGAGAGGAGGGGGTGGGGATAATGATTCGTATACTGTTCTACGCATTTATCGATGGGAACGTACAAACCTGCATCCTCCTAACGCCACATAAATCCTCACATATCATAAACCTGATCCACACTCGGTGAAATCGACATCATAGACCTTGCACCGCCATGACGAAGCTGAACGTAATATATGTTTTGGTTGTCATAGTGATTGTCCAAGAGGTCAGAGGTCATGGAAGAATGTCCGATCCTCCGGCCAGGAACAGTGCCTGGCGGTATGGCTTCAACACGCCACCCAACTACAGCGATAACGGACTGTACTGCGGCGGAAAGGGGGTAGGCTCTTCCACACACACACACACGCACACACACACACACACACAGGCTATTGGTTGCAGTAATCTATGTCTAAGCTGCGCTTACATCTCTTATACCTGCCTGCATACACTCTCTCTCTCTCTCTCTCTCTCTCTCTCTCTCTCTCTCACACACACACACACACACACACACACACACACACGTGCGAGCACAAACACACGTACTAGTATTATTTGTCCTAAACCGACAGTATACACTTTTGCAATTGTTTCAATGTTTTCCCTTCAGGACATATGGTTTAACGTGCAAGATCGCATTACTAAATCATGATATTACTACCAATACATAAAGCTACAGCCTTAATTGAAAAGTGAAAGTGCGCGGCGTTTAAAATATTTGTTAGTGGCATTTGACTTTGGAACTTAGTACGGCGAAGCTAGGTCTTCGACTTTCACTGCGGGTAATTTATTATAAAACTTTGAACTGTCGTCTACGTTAGACAATTGTCAGAATAAATAAATAAATAAATAAATAAATAAATAAAATAATATGTAATAATAAGATTAAAGCTATGAACAAAATGGGAAGTTGAATATGACGTGCAGCTGCACTACGAGTTCACGACGAAACCAAGTTGAGCATGTGCTGTATCAATACTTCAAGCATTAGTCAGTTTGCAGACTACCCAAATGTGAAGGTTCTCAAGGTTTTAAGATGAACCATAAGTCCTATACGCAGAACTCGCCAGTCCTATAGGTCAATCTCTATCGCTGTGCAAAATCGCAAAATAATTACCGACAAGCCCGGCGCCTTAGACAAGGGTCTCTGATCCCCTGTTTCAAAACTTCATGGTGACACATTAAGCGTGACTTCAGTAGGAGGACGGTCTCAAGGCTAGGTCAATTGGGTCATGAGGCACCGCGTGACTGTAAGCAGACGACACCTTTCCCATCGATGTTGTCTTCAGCGCGATCAAAACTGACGCAAAAGTGATGAAGCTCGTGCTGTGTTGCGCGTTGGTCAGCTTATTGGCTGTCCACTATGTCAAAGGTCACGGTCGACTGACCAATCCACCGTCTAGAAACTGCGCGTGGCGGTTCGGGTTCGGCACTCCGACCAATTACGACGATGACGGACTGTACTGTGGGGGATTTTCGGTAACTATTGCTAAATATGAAAGATACATCCGGAAAAACTCGCTTGTTTGTTTTCTTTATTTCGCTTTGAAAGAATCTAAAGATCGACCCCTCTTCTTTGAGGCACGCTAGTTTTTACCCACTGCAGAGTGTAGGCCTTATCGCAGATACAGCCCATTTCAATTAAATATGGTGAAAATTCGGTAGGTAAATAATTTTGCGGTAAGAAGTTTTTAGTCAATGGTTTTTTCGTTTTATAAAATGGTCACTTTTTGTGCTATTCATCCTATCCACAGAGGCAATGGAACACTAACGGTGGGAAATGCGGCATCTGTGGCGACCCCTACGACGGAAAACGTGACCATGAAGCTGGCGGTCGCTATGCAACCGGCACCATCGTGCGTTCTTATCAAACCGGTCAAGTCATCGACATCGAGGTCTATTTGACGGCTGCGCATAAGGGCTGGTTTGAGTTCCGGTTATGTCCTCATAACAACCCCAGTATCCCGGCCACTTAGGCCTGCCTGGACAGGTACCTGCTGGAGGTAAACTATATCATATATCACACGGTGTCTTGTTCTTTTGAACAGATTTAGCTGGTATTTAATTAAGTGCCGATGTGGACTTTTTTTGCTTGTGAAAGACTTTTGTTTCACACAATCACATGTTCATATTGCACGCGCCATAATCGTCTGAGAGGAAAGTTTGAATTTATGTTAAGATATCAAATTTTGGCATTCTTTTGAGTAGCATATAAAGAGTTTATCAAATTTTACAAAGAGTAAGGAAAAGAATAACCACAATAAAAAACTGAGACCAAATAGCAGATATTTCAGAGTAAATAGTTACATATTTCTCAAAATTAGACCATAATTTTAAAAAAATTAAAAAACTGAATTCTTTTTACGAAACAAAACGCATATACTGAACAAACTCACAGCATCCACGCGTTAAAAGATAAGAACAAAAAACGGGAATATTGTACACAGCTTTGTGTGAAGTAGAATACAAGAAAAAAAGTTACTTTTACCATATTGGCTTGGGAAACAAACCCAATGTCGTCACATGTCTTGTTCCCAGAGAGCGGATGGCAGCGGTGCTCGCACCCAGGTTGATAAAGGACCCACCACGTACAGAATGAAATACAAGCTTCCTGCTGGTCTCACCTGCTCCCAGTGCGTGATGCAGTGGAAATATCGTACAGGTGAGAACCCTAACACCTGTCTATTTTCATTTCTTCTTTGTACATGTCCCACATTTTATTCCTCTTCAATGGTCTGTTGCGAACCCTAAATGCGGAAGCAACTTCTCTCTCTCTTTCTCTCTCTTTTCCCATTTACATACAGCTATGCTGACTTTCATTTTTCTCTGAAATTATTGAATTTGAAAGCACATTATGAAACCCATTAGAAGTTTGATATCCCCATCTTTGTTATCCCGGAGCTTCATCTCTTTATAGTTTCATTTATACCTAGGTAACAGCTGGGGTACGGACGCTAACGGCCGTGGTTGCCTAGGATGCGGACCTCAGGAGGAGTTTTACAACTGCGCGGACGTATCTATCGGTAAATAGCACAAGTACACTAATACAGCTAGCACTTCTCCTTTTCTTTCTTTAAATACGTTTATGATAACCATTTTGTTTCTTTTATTTCTGGCGAAAAGTTGGATGGAATAAATAGCCGGTTTTTTTCCCTACATCTTAGTGTAACGGAAACCCTATTTTCAGCCTAAGGCCAGAACGATTGCAATTAAAAAAATAACATTTCCAGGTTACATGTTTTTATGAGTAAAACTTTAATTTTGGTTGTATTTTAAATTCCCAATTAGGGAAGGGCGCCATTAACGTCAAACCTTTCACCACCGGCCCAGTGACGTCTCGTACGGAGGCCCCTGTCACCCACACCGTCCCTCCCAAACGTACCGAGCCACCAAAAACCAGTAGCGGGCAGTCAGGAGGGAAGAACTGCGTCTACATCGGCTCTAACAAGCAGGACGGCGCTGCTCACGACTCTTGGTGTCAGTCTAACTGCGCAGCAGGGTACTGCCCGAAGGACTTCTGTCGCTGCTCGGCAATCCTCGGGTAGATTCGGTAGATTACGGAAAGCAGTTTTATGAAGTGAACTTGGTTGCCTGCGAGTAACGTCAATCAAGACCCTTGATGAATGTTCAGTTTTCTGTTGTATTTACAATATTCATTGTCTGTAGAGAAAACTGATGATTAAAATGCTATTCGATTCAGTGCTTTTTATTGATTATCTTTGTTTAATTGAACTTATTTTGCTATAACAGACACCAGGTTGATTGAAAGGAGATACAAAATCCTGTATATACAAAATATTTTACATATCCCATATTTGTATATTGCATTCAAAATTCCAGCTTGGATCACTTCCGTGCGCCCATTTTAGTTTTATTAAAATCTCCCTCTGCAAGACATGTAGAGGATATAAGGTATGTTTTCTTGACCCCTGTTGTAAAAATGTGTACAAATATACAAAGAACAAATTTAAGGTCGCCATATTAAAAATCCTTTTAACGCATGTCTACAAAATAAAGTCAACCAATTACAGAACCAGCATATGATAGATTCGTGCCTCGTTTCGGATAATAAAAATATATCATGAAAGTTCTTTCACATTCTGTTATGTCGTCATGGATGTACAATCTGAATAATAAGAGATATCTGATTTTGGTTTGAAAGAAAAAACAGCACGTATTTGGATGGTGAAAAAATGAAATATGCAAGTTATAGACCTATTTGCGTAACATGCGCCAGTGTTGCCATATTAATGATGATAAGAGGGGAAAAATCGTAAACAAGCTGGTGCTTTATAATGCGTTTTATAAAAATGAAAGATGTACATGCAGAAAAGACGTCTTGATACAAGCCAACATGAATTTCACCGAGAAATAAATAGGGAGTGAAATTGCAAAGAAGTAAAAAAAGTTGTCCGAGTACACAAGAGATTTATATGAATAACAAAACACAAAACAACAAACGTACGTTGTGAGACATACATACACTCGTACTGGGACATGTACATAGAACCCTTAAGCAAAACGCAACCATATGTTCATATAAAGACGACACTTTGGGACACAATTCATTATTTCCAGTTCAGTTTGAAGATAAATAACGGATATACCGGTATTTAACAGATTAATCAAGTCATCATATTGTGCTTTTACAGCCAATATAAAATGTTTATACGCTTATTTCTGAATAATGTTTACATTCAACTTTCGACTGTGTTTTCCAGAGTCGGAAAACCTCCGTCCAAGAAGAAAATCTCTCACGTGTGCACCACTGTCCTTAAAAAAACTTAAGTTTTCCTTTTGTAAAACTGCAGCCAGCACAGCTGGAAGCAGAAATCGACCACCTCCACCAGAGTCATCATGGTCATGCCCAAGACGAGCCCAAGGGCGCCACCTATATCTGCTAGAAGTGTCAGAAATGGGTACGAAGCACTTTGTATAGTTTCCTGGTAACTTAAATCAGAGTAATACACTTTTAAGATGACATAATTCGATCTCACGTATTCGGGTGACTTGCCAGTTATAGTCGCGGAGTAATTTGCGTAGGAGTCGGATATCCGGCTGTGCGTCACTCCGTGCTGGTATGATACTCCGCTGCACGGCTCTGAACAGTCGCAGTTTAAAGCAGCCGCCTTCTCGTCGGAGTCGATGACAAGTTGTTGACCAACGCAAGTGTAGACGTCATAAGGGGAGCATTCCCTCGTTCCCGCCACTGGGGGATAGTAGTGCAGACGACAACCGCATTTCTGCATTATGTTTTTATGGCTGAAATAAATAACTATGGGAATAAATAAATGAATGAACAAACAGATTTCAATAAATGCAGATAAAATGAAATCAATATTGGCATATCAGAAACATTTTTTTTTTTTATCTTTTTCGATAAAGCCATTTCTTTTAAGTATTATGAAGGATTACATTTCCCAGCTTTCCCAGCACTGTTTACAACAGCGATTGTTACGTCAAGTTTTGGATATACCTTCGTTTAGTTTTGTACCGGACTTACTTGCATTCTGCCATGCAGTTCACCTTGGAGTACTCTCTGAAATACGTCAGACTGCCATCTCTACAGTTACCGTAAGGTGACGGAAGATTCTGAGCCTTAAATGGAGCAGAAGAACGCAAAGTCTACAAGTGATGTAAAGGTTTGCTATCAATAATATATGTAAACATTTTCTTCCCAATAGCCCGTTTCCTAATCCATCATACTTATTCCTAGATTGATTTTCATCAAATCAATAATTTCCATCTACATATATACTTGACGAACAGGTACAAAAGGATATAGTTTTTTAATAACCGTTAATCCTGTCCTAATATGCTTATAATAATACATCAACAAAATGGCGATGATATTGCCACCTCATTTCCCGCCATAAACGGGTCATCTGTACAGAACTATATACTCTAATGGTTTGGTAACGTACCCGAGCCTGTTTAATGGAGATCTGGGTAGTGGCTCCGGGGGCCACGAGGAGCCCGCGACTCTGGATCTCCGGGAATTCGTGAGGGTTGTGAACGCGAACCTGGTGTATATTGGGAAAAAGGAAATGCACATTAAATTGATTAATCAAATATATTCAATTGATACTTGTAGCAATGTTTAAATCGTTAAAGGCATAAAAACTGCATTAAAGAAAAAACAACAAGAGGCAAGATGCATAACCATTTAACCTGTCCATATATGTATATAGCTTAGACCCCATTCCCAGAGATTAGATCTATCTACTTTAGATCGACCTAACTCCCTGGGGGTTCACGCTAAATAGCTGTCAGCCGAGCGGGCACGAAAGTTAATTACCCCCTTACAGCTTGTAGTAGGCGGGACTGACATTTAAGCCGGATCATCTGACAGTAATCTAGTGAGACTCCCCTCGGAGATAGATAGATCTAAAAGCTCTGGGAATACGCCCTTAGAGCCCATTTCCATATATTTTAGATCGAGCTATCCCTGTGGGGAGCCTCACTAGATTACTGTCAGCTTAGCCGGCTTAAGCGTCTGTCCCTCCTACTGAAAGCTGTAGGAGGGTAATTAACTATGGTGCGCACTCGGCTGACTGCAATTTAGCTTGAACCCCCGGGGAGTTAGGTCTATCTAAATCTTAATACCTGGATCGATCTAAATTTCTGGGAATACACCCTTACATGTTGTTACTAAATTTTGGTTAAAAGTTGATACTAGTGAAGGGAACATGACAGGAATTTTGCATGTCCATAAATGTATGTAACTAACATGTTGTAAGAAAGTTTTGGTTTGAAGCTGATACTTGTTCTGTACGTGGAGTGCCGGCAAAAACGGAATGCAGTCCGCCAGGTACCAAGATCCTACGAACCACTATTCCTTACGAGTTAGAGTCCTAATGGGAACTTAAATCCGGGCATAAATATGAGTGGGACTTCTTTTCCTATGTCACCAGAAATAAAGTCCTGATGTCACTATAATGTATTGTTTTAAAACACTCCTATTCTCAGCAAAATCGATGTTTGACTTGGTAATCCGATTTGAGCAGTCAGTAAAAATTGAATGATGACTTGCTTAACATTAACTTTCGATGACACTGTTAGTTATTCTACACAAAAAGCAGACGACATTACCGTGTATCCCGCTGTAAATACCGACGACAGCGCCTCCTCTTGGGCGGTCCAGAGATGAAGGGTGAGGCCGTTAGATGACCCCTCTACCCACGTTTTCAAGTTGGTATCGCCTGATTAGAAAAAAAAAATAATTCGTAATTGACGCATTTCTTTAACGTATTTTTGAAATGGAAATGAATATTAAAGGTTTCTCAAACACTGCAGTATCGACCCTAAATAGTGGACTCGTAACCCCGAGGAAGGTGGTCAATTTTAGTGAGGATCCACAGGTGCAACTAAGCGTCTACTACCTGTGGTACCAGCAGCTTAGAGACCAATCGTTAAAACGCGGCTTAGCGCTGGAGCTTATCGAATTAATGTCCTGTTGTAAAGCTTCATTAAGTTAATTAAGGAATGAACAAAAACTAATAGTCCGCTATTTCATATAAACATAGTAAAGTGATTTGGTCATAAAATTCTTTATAAATAATTAATGACACTAACAGTCCTCCATTTGAGAAAAACAGTAATAAAAGCGCACTTTCTGAGATGCTAAAACCAAACGAATGACAAAAGAAAGCTGATCATTTGTTGCCAATAGAATTACCTACCGCAGTTGAACTGATAGCAAAGCCCCATTTCTGTGACCACGGGAGTAAAGTTGGCAGCCGAGCATGAGGACACCGAGCCGCTTGAAGCACCCCAGGCGCAGAACTAATAGATGAACGTTGATTAAAAGTACAGTTGGTTTCATATTAACTTCTCTCATGAAACATTATAAGCTTGACATATCGGATGCTTTCGGATATAATAATAATAATAATATATTTATTTCAAGTCTAAAATCCATAAAATGTTCAATAGACTGTACAACATAAAATACAAAGAAGTTTATAGATAGTTTATAGATAAAAATGGTTAAGATATATTTTATATAAATAAGAGCTAAACTAACTTAATTGTAATAAACAGTAATTAAAAGTAAAAAATCCAAGGTTTCTTTAAAATTGTAAAATTTAAGATTCATGAATAAAATGTCTTAAAAATATGAGTTTTTAATTCCTTTTTAAAAGATTCTTGTGATTCTATTTGTCTAATAAAAATATATAAAAGAATGATGCTCCAACAAATCAGATTTAAACATGTCTTTTTACATGTAAATTCATTTGTATATCTCTAAAGCATACGTGGTGCTCATTTGGATCGAATTTTGGTTCTTTTTTAAGAGTTATATCCATGAAAATTTAAACGATTATATATTACGGATGCCATAATTTATCGGTTGCATTAAAATATTTTGAAGTTGCTTTTGAGGAAAAAAATAACTAAAAGCCACTTACGCCACCATATATGTTCTCGAATTCATATCCATTCCTAATATGGAAATCTGTCCAGTTCACACTACTGGCAAACGGCGTTGGTGTCAGGCGGTGGGGCGGGTACATGTAAGCCACGCTAGACTCGTTATTGGCGGACAGGGAGCTGGCATTGAATACGTTATTATTGCATATTGTCACCGTTGGAAACTGTAGAGAGTCCTTGTGATGTACGGCAATGTTAACGGAGACCGGGTTCCCAGCAAACGTGGCAAAGCGGTTGTATATATGGTAGAACATGCAGATCATTCCACCCATGACGCAGAGACCCCATATAAACCGTCGGAACAGAGAGAATTTCGGGTTAATGGCTTGTTTCAGTCCTAAAATGCTGACCTCGTTAGCAAAGTTCGTGAGATATATACTAAGGGGGAGGTTGGCGTTTGTGTCGGTATTCTTGCCGTTGCCATGGTTTTGTTTCTCCTGCGACGTGTCCAGCACTGTGGAACTGGTTCTTGTGAAGGTCACGTATTTCACGTTCTCCTGGACAGCGAACGGGTCATTATCCTCGACGTGATTCATTTTGGAATTATCACACCGTTTCTCCTACCATCTCCGAGTATTCTACTATCTCTGCCTATAATTGAAGAACATGTGACTTTGGGGTCGTTCACAATGAGTTAGGCCGACCTACACGTAGCTAGAGAGGAGCAGGAACTCTTGCTGAGTGCAATCAGATTGACAGACTAACCATCCTCCTTTTGTTTCCCAGCGTACTAATATAATAACTCTGTATTTTATGTATTCTACTCAATACCAGAAGGCGTCAAGTTATCCGATAATCTGATTGCATTCAGCAAGTGTCCCCGTGGTGTTAGACCACGCTAGTTATGTCGAAGTGACTCTTTCTTAACGGTACCTTATGCTGAAGGATGCTGCGCCCTTGATTCTGAAACTCTTTGCCTTACATTTGCTGGTCATCTACCTCTTGTCACGTGCGTTGATATTAACGGTAAATGAGCAAGGGCCAGATATTAAAAGTATAAAAGGTTTGCCTAGCTTCCTTTTCATTTATCGATATATTTTAAGTGAGAGCTACTCAAATATATGTTAACAATACCTAGAGACCGTGAAGCGCCCTTCTCTCTCTCATGAAAAGTGTGTGAAGTAAAATTACTTTAAAGTGATGCCCTTTTATGTCTTGATGAGAAGTTGCTTTAACGTAGAGAGAAGTAAATGTCCAAACACAAGGGAACAATAAAATCTGTGGCCTTTGAAAATAACATAAAAAAGCGGATACACTCGGACCACTTATAGTAAACTATGATTGACTAAATTCAAAGGCTTATTGTAATCAACTCGAAGACAAAAAAGGTAAACAACGATAGAAGTAATAACTCGACTAAGCAATTATTGATAATAGGTCTTTTCTGTATAGGGGCTTAAATTGTTTGATATACTAGTAAGTAAATAGAAGCCATTGACGCCGATTTTGCTACTAAGCTTTTATCGATACTTATTTACGCCGTGCGTGACGCCTTCATCTATATTTGAAATTACGCGTTTTTTTATGAGATTATGTCCGTTCAAGCATCAGTTTTCAAACGAAGTACATTCGGTGGTATTTCAAATGGTTTTATCAAAAATTATATCAAGCAATATTTGCGGTGTTCCACGTGGAGGAAATATCACTTGTGTCGCCCATTTTGAAACCTATTTAGATCTTCACTAGCATGCTGAGAGAATAATTTAAACACTGAAGATGAAGTTCACATGTAATTATTGTAAAATCGTTGTAAATAACGCTTCAAAATTATTGACATAAATTGCGCAATGGTTACTCATATCAAATCACATACAATAAAAAAAACACAAACAATTATCTTCCTAACAAACACGTCACGTTCGGATCACGTGGCTAGCACGTTGCTATGACGTAATAAGTGTTTGCTGGGTTACGCTGTCTGACATGACAGCAAAAAACGTGGGGCCGGCAATAGGAACTTTCTCTTTATTATCCCATGAAGTCACTGGCAATATCTTATTTGCATATGAAGTCGCATTTTATCCTGTGATTTAGTAGATTTGTCAGTAAAATTAGGGTATTAATCCCTGAAGTGGAAATATACCGTGAAATATCTTATCACACGTGTGCGCATTTTTTTTTTAAATACATCAGCTTTCGTTGGGAGTTAAAATCGACCCTCCATGACTTAGCATAAATCACATGATTTGCTGGCAGATTTAACACGTTCAATAATTTCACTTTTACCAAAACACAGGTACAGGTGTTTTGTTACTGTTGCTATGCAGGTAGCTAGGCGAAGTGACAGGCAGACAGAGAGCACGGGTAGCGTTTCTTATTAACACAGGTACTCTTCTCACCGTTAATACTGCTTAGGTTTTAGTGAGACGATAATCACGAAATATCACCAGTGGCTCGATACACATACAGGGGTTATACATTGTAATAATACACATACAGGGGTTATACATTGTAATAATCGTCCCGTATACGAAAAAGGTAAACAAATGCATACAGATCAGCGCATCGATTCATATGTAATGTTTTCTGGATCGAAATTAGTTCGTTGCATGTCTACATTGGTTTTTTCTCTCTCTCTCTCGCACGTGCACGCGCGCGCGCGCGCACACACACACACACACACACACACACAGTTTTTCATTCAACTTTCTTTGAAACACTACAAATAAAGCTAAGCAAGAAGCATTTTAATACCTCTTTCCTCTCTCATCTCCAAATCACAAAACCCTAAGGCTCGACGCATTTTGGTCAGTTATTTTTTTAGAATGTTAATCTTTCTGCTTGATTTATTTCACTTATCTTTGTTTTTATATATTCGTTTACATATTTTTTCCTGTTTTTAAATAGTCCCTCAGCCGATTCAGATAATTTATGTTTAAAAATGTTACCCTTCGCTTTTCTTCTCATTTATTATATTGCACCTTAGCTGAACGTTAAAGAAAATCACGATCAATTCAACCTGCTTCCCGTCATTGTCACCAGGTGTCAGGTGTCAGTGTAGTATCAGGTTGCCCACAGCCTGGACACCGTCTAGTTACAATTGAGTTATCTTTGTGATATGTGTCTTTGAAGTACGTGTTTGTGGCCAACTTCTAGTATCTGTAGATTCTTACCTTGGTCCAGTGAACCTGTGGCTTGCTTTGTTTTACCCCTGACAGCCACGATGTGTATCTTTCTTCCTGCCTTTCTATCTGTCTGCCTACCTTTTTGCCTATCTGACTGTCTGTTTCTTTGGTTCTACTCACTCAGAGCGAATGTCCTAAAACCCTTGACGTAGGCCTCACAATGAAGAAAAAAATCGTTTCGACCAACCGTGTAAGTCGACAGACAAGAAAACTCTTGGCTCTCCACCTGCTATCTTCATTCCCTCTGTCTGTCAGTCAGGTAATCAGCCTGGCTTTTGTTTTTTTTTTTTTTTTTTTTCTCCCAGAACGTTCTCTTTTCCTCCCAACTCAGACACCCTACAAAGGTATGTCTGGCGCCTGAAATATTATTTTTGCACATATCAGGTCACTAAAATCGTAAGAAAATGTCAATCAATTCAACGTAAACTCCCTCGTAATTATTTAAAGGGGCTATGGAGTAGCTACTTAGCTTTTTATTTTCATTGCACGTTCCGATCAATGGGGGTCCGGATATTGATACGGCTCGTCAACGAAATCGAACATTATTAACAAAGGCTGGCAATCATTACAGTGGTTTTGTTATAAGTGTTAACTTGGTCAAATAACTTGAACAATGCCTGGCATTAATTTTCTTATTTTGGCAAGTGGATTTACGCTGCATTCTTCCAATCTTGTGTCTCGTTACTGACGCAGTTTCTTCATTTGGCCAGTCATTTCTGTCATTTAGACAATTGATCGTTTTTGTTACACTCATTAAGAACAAATTTCCTTAATCTCAATACAAACCTTTTCCTAAGTATTTCCAACTATTGGCCAAGTCATTCCGACCCATTTAGGCACTTAATCGATTTCATCATGTATGAAAAGATTCTATGCGTCTAATCTAAAACAAGGAGTTATACACAAATATTTCACGTCTTTGATAAAATCCAATCTAATTGCAAAGTCATCACAGTCCATTCATATATAGTAGAGTGACGTAAAACGAACATTTTGTGTCAGGGAATTTATCAATCCGGTTACATAATCACACTCTGTGGCGGATGCGTGTTTAGGAACTTGTGGAGAGTGAACGGGATCTGGCCATGCCGTATTTTGTCTCAGAACCATGGTGACAAATAACCTTAATCAACACTCTAAGTCGAGAGAATATCTACTGGGACTACCTCCGACCAAAAATCGTGGGAAAACTTGAGATTTTCATTGTTTTTCCCAATTTGAATTTATTGGCTGACATGCCAATGTTAATGTTAAATTTTAGTAAAGCTGAATAATTTCCCCAAATGAATCGCTGCTCCATAAAGTGTCAGTAATATCTTAGAAATATATATGTACTTTTAATAAAATTTAAAAATGAAAAACAGTTCATGTTCTCTTTGATTAAAAAAACCCTGTGTTTATTTATCGAATTATGTTTTCGTTGGTGACATATATATATTGTGGTGAAAAACTGATAATAGAGTACGTCAAGAATCTGAAATAATTATTTTTTTGCTTTCAGTCCTGGTGCCATTGCACGTACTGGTGGACAGAACGTTAAAAATCTGTGAGTGAAACGATTAAAATAAAACAGCTGCTCTCCTGTCACACTTTTTAAGAAAACAATATTTCCATGGCAAAAGTATTTATCAAATGGACTTTGTCAATCTATCCTAAGCTGTTCGCTCTTCTTTCTTGTTTTGTTGAAGACATATTTGCTCTGTAACGACGGATGAGGTTCATCCGAGAGAAGGTTCGTAGAAGAGCCCTGGGAAGACAAAGAATAGGTTCACAAGTATACAGTTTCATTTTTGTGGATATTTTAGTCACGATTTAAATCATTTTCGGGCATTTATTAAAAGCTAGTTGTTTAACGTAAAGCAAAGCGTAGGGACCGGTACCTTAAGTAAAGTTAAAGGGAATACAAGAAAGTGGCTTTATTATCTGTCTCTTCCGTTTCCAGTGCTCTTTGAGTTTCCTGACAGGGTTTGACTAAGCGCGATTGCACAAAAAAGGCAATGATTTCCAAAGGGAAATAACTCCAATCCCCGTGAATAAAAGTAGCCAGGTTACCGGTAGTTGCTGTGCTTACAACAGATCAATCAAACACATTACATAAATAAATTGTATTTCTGTTAATACATTGTTGTACAATACGTACCTGCTATACAAGCTGTCGTAAAACTGGCCACGTTTCCGGCAATCATTGCCCTTACGACAACCTTGGCGCAGTCGGACTTCCGGCGTGGAGCCATGGCGGCAAAGGCGCCCAGCATTATACCAATGGAGCTAAAGTTTGCAAACCCGCACAGTGCATACGTGGAGATAACCTCTGAACGTTCCTGGCAATAAAAAGAATTAACGAGAAATCCTTAAAATCATTTCTTGCAAATTGTAAAGATTTTGGTATTATTAAAGTTATGTTATTTCTTTGGACTGATAGGGCCAATATGATAGATGGGACATTTTCCAAACTGTTTAGACAAGGAGCAAAAATTGCTTTTTTATCATGATCTGTTTCTTCTACGGCACACTAGTTTATTTATTTTTGGCCCTTCATTTAAAGCGTCCAGTTTATTTGCATTAATGAAACGAAAATAAATAAACAAATAAATAATTTTAATATTTTTTATATAATTTTATGTATGTAATTTTAATAATTGAAAAAATAAAATAAATATAAAAAAGCATTTGCACTACCATTAGAACTCCACCTATTAGCGTCTTGTTGATTCCTTCCAGGAACAAATCATCACCGTTTTCAATGACGGTTCCATTATACGTGTTGTAAACCTTTCTATTATTAATCAACACCCCTAGTTCTTCGTATGCGGCAAACTCGTTCACGAGCGTCTTGATGCCGATCAACTCTGCCACCTTGCGGCAGTCTACTGTATCAGTCCCCATGACAAACGCAAATGGCCAGAGAACGTAAGAACAAATAATCTGAAATGAGAGAACGAAGTACATATTGTGTGTGAACACAGGTTAAAGATCCCTATATGTCATAGGAATCAATATATATTTTTTATTTTATTTTATCAATATATTATTATTAGTATTATAAGGAAGAAAAATCTCCAGCACTGTTTTTGATATCCTGAGTCCGAAGTATCACACTCATACTAATATATCTATGGCATATATTCATTTAATTTCTCCATCCAGCTATAAGAATAAACACGGTTATCGACCCTCCTTCTGTGCCTCACACAAGTCCGTGTTGCAGTGTGACACACACACGCACGCACACACACACACGCGCGCACGCACGCACACATACCTGTACAGTCAGTTTCTCTAGTCCCACTCTGTTCCCCATCCAGGTGAGGGTTCCATTAACAAAGTCTAACAGTGCCAGAAACGCTATCAGGTTGACAGCTATATTAGCCACCAGTTTGACCGAGTTAGACGCCCCATTGGAGGCTGCCTGTAGGGCGTTCCTCTCGGGACTGGAAAGATTAAAGCATGTTAAGTATGAGATAAAGTGGTACATTTAGTGTTAAATAAACAACAATACATAACAAGGATTGTGCTGCCTCGGTCATGGGTTAAGATCAGTTTCCACATTTTCATGGCACGCGGTTGACCGATGATTCTGTCAGTGAACGTACAGTTTAAATAATCATTCTGTAAATACAACGCCCTAGCATGTCATGAATCTACAAAGTTTTAATGTCAACTATTTACCGTTTGTACAATCTGTTAAAGATACACAATGTTCTACAGAAATTAGAGTACACAACCTATACCAAATGTGTAAAAACGAACATTTTACGCATTGGTTTGGCGGGTAGCGTACCTTTTCTCTATATTTTTGATATCAGCCATGGTGGTGATGGATACCCTGGTCTCGGGGTAGAACAACTTCGCCATGGCCAGGGCAGCCGGTGCCGACATCACAGAAGCCGACAGTAAATGGTTGGCTGGAACCTATAAAAAGTTGTTAAAACGATTTCTGAAAAAAGCCCAGTTAAGACAATGCAGTATTTAGTCTAGACATTTACAATCTCTTTATATTTATATGTCTTTCAATTGATTGTTACTATGACGATGTTGCATACTCATTGCACTGGGGTTCCTGATTTACAAGCATAATTCTTTTTGGATTAAGAAAAAGCACATTTATCAACCCCTGAGGGTCACAAGTTTCACACAATGCGACCAGGGGCTATTCCTTAAAAAGGTGCTATTATCTTCAATCTGTCAGACGACAGATAATAAAAAAACTCAAATCAGAAAAGTTTCACTCATTGTTCCTTACCCCAAAGGCGATGAAAGCCCCCAGCACACTCCCAGCTATGGTAGCATATCCTCCCGTCATGACAGCATGCAGCTCCGACCTCGTCATCTTGGCCAGGAAGGGACGGATCACCAGCGGCGCCTCACTCTGTAAGTGACGTCATTTATGACGTTGTGATTACGACATAATGGCCGTTAACGGTGTAAGTATGACGTCAAGTTATTTGTGTGTACATCATGTCAAAAGCCGGACAACCTTCTATCATATTTCAATAATTCCTTATTTCAGTTTAGAAACCTCCTGCATGATATAAAGTTGAAATTAATGCATAAGTATAGAGTATTGTTGCAACATAAACAAAAAATGAAAATATTTGTGCAGAAGAAACGCTTCGTTAGCGCAACCTCTCTTGTCGCAATAAACGGATACCTTTCAACAAATTTCACCGGCTGAATTAAAAGTGTCACATTAAGCACTAACCAACCTGTCCAATAAATATATTAGCGGCTGCGTTCATGGACTCTGCAGCAGTTGTTCCCATGGCAACTCTCATTACCCAGGCCACCTTGCCTATTAACCATTGCATAGCGCCCAGGTAGAACAGAACTGATACACACGAGCTGAAGAACACAACTATTGGTAGGATCTGGAGGAGAAGAAAAGCTCCAGTGAGCATTTTCATACATTATCAACAGTAAATCAATTGTCCGTTTTTATTCGGATATTTTTCTCTTAGTTTATTAAACTCATTTCTTCGTGTTGCACTTGGTCGAAGAGTAGTTCCATTTAGAATACTAAGAATAACAGTATGCGACATGCAATTCATTGAAAACTATGGTTCCACGACCCTCTTTAGATAATTAGGAGTTGACTGTGATATCGCTCAGCGATTTAACCAAGGACGATATTATGCGCATGAAATTTAATATCTTGGGGTGTTTACTTACAGGGCCCTATTTTATTGCACTGTACGTGTGTTTGGTTATTTTTTATAAGTTAAATTTAGATTATACTTGTTTATTTAATCTACCTTCTACTATGTGTTGGGGGAGAACCTACTGAAAACGTGGAAGACGTACCCCGAATGCAAAGTAGTGCGGCTCGAGATTAACGAAGACGAATTTAGCTCCAGCCTCAGTGTGGGCCAGAAACTCTGCAACACGTGCTCCCAACCAATTAAAAATCTCAAACCCCCAGCGCGTGCGCAGTATCAGGAGAGCGAATGTGAACTGCAACAGCAACCCGACTAGGACAGGCCGCCATTTTACCTGAGATGAAATAAAAACAGAAAAAAAAATGATTGAAACTTAATTGTTTGGCATTTTTTTTTCATTTTGTACTTTTTACTCTCTGATAAATAACTATAGACATTTCATAATGCTATTGTGAATATTCAACTTATTTATTTGAATCTACATGTATTTCGTTCTGTTTGAATGGGTCTGGTGCAATGCGTGCGTATTTGCGTGCGTGCGTGTTTATGCGTGTATGTATGTGTGTGTGAGAAAAAAAGAGGGTGAAGAAAAAATGACTTACTCTGGCAGGATTCTTTGAGAATATCCACAGTAGACTGACATAAACAATTATTCCTATCCCGGAATACAGATTTCTAGGCTGCTTTAAAGCTACTTCAAGAATAAGAACAGCAACAACTCCGCATACAGCAGCGACACCTATTATCCTGACATCAAAAAACATGACTAGTTACAAAACTAAAATGTGTCAATATCAAACTGCATATTTTTTTCACTAAATGAAAAACTTTGATTTAACGAAAAAATTAATTTTGCTGTAAAAAAGTGCGTAATGAGAAAAAAAGCGGTCTCTATCGTCCAGCAATAATCTTCCCTTTAACATGGCATTTAACTAGCATTCATTTACGTAGTCTAAGGGCTAACTGAAATTAGCTTCGACTCATTTTTTGTGAAGCTTGTCTGATGCAATTGCGTACCTACCAGCGTATGTACCGTCCTCTTCTCTCTATTAACACAGAAACGGGGTGTATGCATGTCCGGTACAGACCATCGCCCCATCTATCGAGTATCACAGAAAGCAACACGCCTGCGGTGACTAGGCATGATACCCACAGCAGCCGTATTGAGCCTTCGTCTCCAAACTGATACCACATTGCATAGCCAAAGTAGGCGGCATAAGCCGCTGTGAGAAGTGCGTACAGAGCCAGCCACAGCTTTTTATTATGTGAATTTAGGAAGGAGGAGATTGCTGAAAAAAGTGATAATAATGTTATTATTATTATTTTTTTTTGGGGGGGGGGGGGGGAGGGGAGGGTTGAGGAGGGCGTTATAAGCAGACCCGTGCATATCACATAATTGCTCAGCGTGTTTATTAATGATTAGAAAATGTTAAATTCTTCTTATATTATTCTTATTTTTTTTTAAACAAATGGAAAGTCAGAATCTCACAACACGACAACCTCTTAAGAAGGTGAAGTTGATAGGCCCTATCAGGAAATGTGGAGAATCCGATTAAAATCCTTCTAATTAATATTCCGTGCACGTGAAAGCAATTCACCAAATAGCCTTACCCATTTTGATCAATTGACCATTTACCTGATTGTAGTTTCTCTAGATTCTGTAGACAGGAAGTTCCGCCATCTTCTATCAGCTCTTCAAACATGGCCTCCTCCACGTCCTCTCCGTCATCCTCGTAGATGGAAATTTTGACGTCTTTGTGAGTGTGTTCTTCGTACTGTAAAGCGGGTGGCAGCCAAATTTGTTTGTTATCTAAAGAACTTTTTCAAATCTTGACCTCACAAGCCATGAGATGATCAGATCTGTGTATCATACAAAGTCGACCAAAGGACGATACGTCTAAATTGTTAAGCGTTTAAACGTTTACGTGTAGAAGAATAATTGACTTAATAGAGAAAGTGCAACAATTTCTTTTAAAAAGAAGCAAGCTATGTCGTTACTTTCTAGTCTCTTTTCTGATAGCCACAATCTTCTGGTACACGTATAACACACAAGCAGTACCCAAACACGATGCTTCTACAATGTCAGGTGTTTTAAAAAACATTCAGAAACAAATGACTCTACCTGTTCATCGTGCACAAACGCTTTATTATCCAGACCATTTTCCCCGGGGGTGGTGCCCTCCGACATAAGTCCCGGGGGAACGACCTCTTCGTACGTCGAGTCCACCGCGGCATTTTGCTTGCCAGGTGTCGCGCCATCGTGAACGTCGTCTTGCACGATTACCTGTCGCTCTTTGCCGTTGGCCTTCATGTCGCTCAGCTCAAACGACGCTTTGGGCATTCTCTGGATACAAATACATGTGTTACATTTGCAGCGGTGTTTGTTTGTTTGTTTATTGCTTACAAGATAATTTCTGGCCGATGTAAGCGCTAAGACCAAAATTTTAGTCGGGTCTGTAATGTTGATTTAGCAACAGGTCATCGTAGTGAAGTAAGCTGATAACAGGTGTTAGGAATGCGACACGTTTTACACGAACATGGTCCTGCATTTAACAACAGCACTTGTCTACCATTCAACAGATTTAAACGTCGTGATTCACAAACATGGTTGGTGCACTACCCCCCCCCCTCCCCCCCGGCTATTTCAAGAGTTTCAGTCAAAATCACAAGAGACAGAGGGGCTTAGGGGTACTCAAGCTTTGTATTGTATCAATTTTTGATAATAAAATAGTATATAGTGTTTGTTAAAATGAGCATAGCTACGTTTGTTTGATGTAACCTGAACACTAGTTCGGCGCTGTCACCAATCAAGGGGGAGGGGGGTGGCGAGGCGAGAGATGCATGTAATATTCATACCGGATAAGCTTAAAATGAACAAGTCACATATTATTCCTGAATCAGCTGTACGAAGCCCAATGGTAGTTCTAAGGTGGACAGCGCAGACATGTAACCCTCTTATACCTTGTAAGGTGTCCCCCCCCCCCGCTATAATCAGCAGGCATGCCACATACCCAAGTGCATCACTGGAGGCACAGTCGTGTCTCTGCATAGACCCCATCCTGTCATCTTCACCGCTGATAGATTCCACGTCAGTGATGTCATAGGTGCTTGATTTGTATTCAAAGGTTAAGCACATAAGAAGTGACGGGGGTTAAGCCCGGGGGGGGGG